AAGCAATCGATGCGCCTCAGCTGCAGATTTCTTTAAATTAAAGAAGCAAATCAAAAGTTCCCGCAAATGACGTTCGGCTGACTCGACATTTTCGCACGAAAAAAAATTATATGATGCTGATACAAAATCGCTAATATTTCAAGGTTATGGTGTTGCCAAATGTCCAACCTTACGATATGACGTTTTACATCTGACAATTTCAACCATAACTTACTGGTGGGGCCATCTTTTGTCAAACGGCGGAGACTTATTTGTACTCCCAATATTAAGTGTCTAGAGATTGTGTATTCTTCTCTTAGGGAGGGTTGCCTTAATTTCAAAGAATAAGGAAAAGCCAAAATTCCAAATTATTTTATATTTTTCCCAAATTATTTTATATTTATCCCGGTTTTCCATGAAAAATTTAAATTGCATGACTTTTCCTGGTTTTCCAAGTCTGTAGCAATCCTGTTTTTCTTTCGGCTGCTATTTCCTGTGCGCTCATTAACTTAGACAAAATAATTAATTTCTCGAAAACTATTGCAAATATCGTAAAACGGTATAGAACTTTTTTGCTCAATCCGTTCTATGTTCTCGCAAAGTGTGATCATGGGGGTCTGGCACACCCTATATAATTTACTTTCTATGTACTATTTTTTCTTATTATTGTAAATTATTTTTCAAATATTATACTATCGTACATAATTTTTAATCATACATTTACTTTTTAGAAAATTACAAATGTTTTCATACTGATTAAAAATCTACTTAATTAAATCAAAATATTCACGCATTAGTCTTCATCTTTAATGTAATTATAGTTTTTTTAAATTTTTATTTTATCTTTTTTTTAGATATTACTGGACTTTTCTTTAACTATTTATACTAATGTTGATATGAAATTTAAATACAAATATGAATGCATTTATTTCAATTGCAATTAAATAATTGTTGAATTACATATTTGTTTTATCAAATTGTGTGAATATTTATTATAAATTATTCTATAATTAGATATATAAACGCATAGTTTTCCATGTTTGCTAAAAAATATTGTTTGAACGTTATAAGAATATAGGTTTAGAATAAATCACAATAATATTGCAACTCGTTAGAATTATTAAATCCTCTTCGACTACTGGGATAAAGTAATATGTATGGTAAGTAACTGGAAAACGAGCAATTAATTTATTCACTCACAAACAATACTTTACAACTTAACATAAAAGTTTATTGGTATTACTAATATTACATTTATGTAAAATAAAAATTCTCTTTCAATTTATAATATTATAAATCTAGAGATACTCTTTAATATAAGAAGAGTACAAAAAATAAATATTTAAAAATTATTTTTTTTACAAAAAATAAATAGCGTTATTAAAGATATTTTTACTATAAAATTTTTGTACAAATATTTTTTCGATATCTTGTATACTTTATGAATTTTTTTAAAAAAAGACAAAAGCTTTTATATCTTCCATTAGAATGTAGTTTCAAACTTTCAAATTCTCTTTAACCTCAACTGAAATTTTCTAAATTTTAAATAATTTTAATAATATTCTAAATAATTTTATTTAACCTACATTCACATGTCCAAATTAAGCAGGATTTTAACACAATAGATAACGTGTTACATAGGGGATACAAAGGGTGAATTTTTAAAAATATTTTTTCTCGAGAAATGAATGGCATAGTTAAATAGAAAACATTTTTCTATAAAACTTTTGTATAAAAAAAAATATATATATATATTTTTTAAATATTTATTTATAATATTATATTTATTTTTAATATTTATTTTTAATATTTTATTTAGTTTTTGAAATGTATTGAAAAAATTGAAAATCTCTGTATCTTTAAAAGTTAGTTTCAAATCGTTTTTTAGCAACAACTGAAAATTTCTAAATTCATCTATTTACCTAACCTACATTTATGTGTGCAAAGTTTAATTAAAATTTGAATTTTCAGGTTCACGAGGTCCCTTTATTAGTATATTCTGCCTTATATAAGAATCTTTATATAAAACATTTTAAAACATCTTTTTTATAATGGGTTAATTTTATGAACAAATTAAATTTTTTTAAATTTTAACTGACATTCGATAAATTGACTAAAATAATTCGTAATTCATACACGCAACATATTTATTTTATAAAAACATATATATTATTAATGAAATACAGACTTATATAATTAAAGGTTTTATGTTTTGTTGCCTCTTTAATAAAAATATATTTTATATTTTCTGCATAAATAAGCTGCAATATATAGGATGTTTCAGTTCTCGCGGCTTTAATTGATGCATGTTCCTAAGCTCAAATAGAGATGAAAATTCTAACAGAATATCGAAGCTATAATAATTTTTAAATAAAAAAAACGTATCAAGTAGACGAATTAGGAGGCTGAGAAAGTTCACGCAAATATAGTACAAGATACTGTAATAAAGATGTCTTCCCACACAACTCCTTATAATATTAAAAATATAGTTACGTTGAAAACCACTGGTGACCGAGTTGTATTTAAATGCAAATGTTTATTATAACAATAATACTTATATAAGAACATTACAAAATATTAAGCACAATATGTAAGGAGCTTTTGAAAAAATCACATAAAGTGTCACTTAATGTCACATCACAAGTCACTTGATAAATCAATTGACTTCGTGTTTATGGTACTTGTATGATCAATATCAATCCATATCTTAATTACTCAATCTACAAATAAAATAGGAAATATAAGTATATAAAATATTTTTCTTCTATTTTATTTTTATATTCAGTAATTAAAGTATGAATTCATATTGATCAGACAACCTTTTTGCAACACAACTGATGTTAATCAATTTTCAATCCTCGGATTTGTTTACTTAAAATATTTCTTATTTAAAAACTATTATATCTCAACACTCTTTTTTCACCTCTATTTGAACTTAAGAATCTGTCATATCAAATAAAATTCGCAAGAACTGGAACTCCCTATATACAGAATATCTGAATTTAAATGTAGTAACACTAATATGCAGATAGAACTCATCAAATCAAACATAAAAGTTCCCTACTATTTTACGAACAATTACTATAATTTTTGAGATATTAATTAAAGAAGATTAAGGCGAATTTATGCGTACGATGCAAACAAGTTTTACAGAATAGTCTGAAGAAACATATCTTGAACTTTTCAAGTAATAGAGGATATCGGATAATAGCGAAAGGCAGAGTAAGCATTCAGCAGAAATCAGCGTGATTTATGTGATTTTCGGCCACAACCCTTATAGAAATATCATACTAAGAATCATTGATAATTACTTATTTTCAGTATTAAAAATACTGGATAATAAGTAATTATCAATGATTCTTAGTATGATATTTCTATAAGGGAAACCTAAGAGATTAAGATTAAGAGATCACACAATAAGTTCAGAATATATCTCTCCAACTATCTTATATAAAGTTGATCCTTTTATATCGTGCAAACTAATTTGACAATCTTTTTTAATATCTAAAAAATTATTGTATTTGTTTGCAAACTAATAAATAACTTTTCTGTTCAATATGATAAGTTCTACCTGCACACAAGTATTGTTGGATTTAAATCCAAAAACAATGTATGTGGTATATTTTTTATACATATACTTATAAAATATATACAATAATATTCTTGTACATAACAGTTATCCAAGATATCCTATAATTGGTGATATAAATAGAAAGATAATTTTATATGAAATATATATACAGGGTGTCCCATTTTAAAAGATGCACCCTGATAATTCTTCAGCCAAGCATATTCAGCAGAAATGTTTCAGACAAAAGTTATACGGTTCGATGGAGGACATAAGAAGATACCATTGGTTTGATCTTGCATGGCGCCGCCAACGTCAAGTCGAGGTCAACTTTGCTTTTTTAAATAAAAACATATTTTTTTATTACGGAATTTTATTCTACGTAAAGAAGTAAACAACTTTTATTTGAAAACATTTTTTATACGACCTCTATTTTTTTTAAATATTTAAGGAAATATCTACAAAATTATTGGTTTCAATAATTTTTTACTCAAATTTTATCAACTTTACCGAAAAATAGCAAGAGATAAAAATTTTCTATTTTCTTCTTATAGAGCTCTGAAAATTTTTTCAGAATTTTTTCATTAACTTTTTAGTACTGCGTTTTCATGCATTTTTTTGAAGTACTAAAAAGTTAATTTAAAAAATTCTGGAAATATTGTCAGAGCTTTACGAGGAAAAAATAAACAATTTTTATTTCTTGCAATTTTTCGGTAAATTTGATAGAATTCCAGTAAAAAATTATTAAAACCAGTAATTTTGTAGATATTTCCGTAAATATCTTAAAAAATAGAGGTCATATAAAAAATGTTTTCAAACAAAAGTTGTTTGTTTTTTTACGTCGAATAAATTTCTGTAATAAAAAATATATGTTTCTATTTAAAACAGCAAAGTTGAGCTTGACCTGACGTTGACGGTGCCACGCAAGATCAAACCAATGGTACCTTCTTATGTCTTCCTAATATATATAATTAAAATATATATATCGAACCATATAACTTTTGTCTGAAACATTTTTGTTGAATATGCTTGGCTGAAGAATTATCAGGGTGCATTTTTTAAAATGGGACATATATATATATATATATATATATATATATATATATACATAAAATTTACGTTATTCTATTTTTACATATGTTATATAGAATAAAATTTGTTTATATGTGTGAATTTATTTTTAAAAGAAAAAATAACTTAAAAATTTAAGAATTATTAATATTTGTTCTCTTTTCTTGGTTTAGAATTATTACGCAAATTATTGAATTTATTTAATAATATATCTATCAATACATAAATAGAAAATATAAAATTGCATTTGTGGAAAAAATAAAAAACTAGAACTTCAACACAAAATTAGAACAAATAAAAAAAGATTTGAAATTTAAGAAAAAATTAAAGAAAAATCAAGCAAAGAGAGTTAGAAATAACAAATATTATCATAAATGTGGTATTAATTTTATGTTTATTTTTATTTATTATTTTTAAGACAAAATATGTACCCTTTATTTTTTTACTTATACACCGGTAACTAGTATCGAAGTGTGTACATCTATTTACTTTAATATGACCTGTGTTTTTACGCAGTCCGTCGATCAATTGTTATATAAATAGCGTCCAAAGTATATATACTTCAGACCATCTCGAGTGTAAATATCTGCATTTGAAAGAGATTACATTAGTATTGATCAATATGTTATATAACATATTACATGCGATGATTTGCAGATTACCTAAACATAAAAGGATATTATCTATTAATTTTAAAATTAATTTTAATTATTAAAAGTATAAAGGAGTATGAGACAAATTTTTTATTTCTTAAAATTTTAAAAATAGTTAATACTTTGTTTCTAATCCATTTTTTATTTCTTTTTTCAAGTGACCATATCATTAACCCTTTAAGACGCATAATTCATGGAATATTCTAGTAACTTTTTTTTAATGAAATATTGTCAAAAACACTCTAAATAACACATTTATAAAGTTTTGACTGCTCGATCCTAAATGATCCCTATTGGTACTTAAAGGGTTAATTATACCACCAATTACAGGTTGTTATAACATTCACGAATATCTATTTTTTGTTGATATTACATCTTACTGTGCTTAAATCTATATTACACTCACATTATAAATATAATCTTACGAAGTCGTTTCTAAAGTCGAAGGCAAGGTAGATGGTTGCTGTGGAGTAAAGTTTACAACTTCATGGTATACGAGTTCTATAAGAAAGAATACATATTAAACAAAACGTGAAATTTTAATAAATAAATAAATAAATAAATAAATAAAAAATATATATATAGGGCAAATATATATCCCGCATAAGACGTCTAAGAAGAAAAATATAAGTAGAACAGTTAAAAATGAATAAATATTTAGTAGAGGTCATTTTTTAAAGAGTCACTTAAAATTTTGAGACATTAATTAAAATAGTTTAGCAAATCAGAGTACGTGACGCGACAGGCGGGACATATGGCTTGCCGCAGCCGGCGAAGAAAATGGACGATTGTTCGCGGGTCTATCACGCAATGTCAGATCTAAGACGTAGTCCTCACTTCTAGGCCTATGAGATAGACCTGCAAGCAATCGTCCATTTTCTTCGCCGGCCGCGGCGAGCCGTATGTCCCGCCTATCGCGTCGCGCGCTCTGATTTGCCAGACTATTTTAATTAATATCTAGAAATTTTACATGGTTGTTTAAAAAAATGACCTCTATTTGTTCACTTTTATCTATTCTACTTATATTTTTCTTCTTTGACGTCTTATGCGGGACACCCTGTATATACACAGAGTATCTGACAAGCAAAAGGTCTACCTTGTATGATTCCTTTTTAAATGGGGTCTTTTGCAATCGATCTAGACTTGTTTCTAGGTCACTAAAAGATGGTCATATCAATTGCCAGCTCAACTAAAACCAGAGTATTCTGGTTTTTCGTTGGAGCACCGAGTGGGCGCCACTACCCAAGAGCAATATCCAATACTGATTTGTTTACGTTAGTTACATTGTTTGTGAATTACTCATTTTGGGTCATTCCCATAGACTTAGTATATATAGATTACGTACTGGGCTGAGCGGACGTCACATAATAGAAAGAGATAGCATACTTTGGACCACCATTCTATCTTTTTCTAATGACACGTGGTGGACACTCCAGGTTCTCCTTATGTTTAGAGTGGGTGTTTACATTGGTTCTACTACATAATATGTTTATGAACGTCGAAGCGTCTTTATTACATACATATAAAATATTTTATACATATATAAAACATTTTATATTTTCACAATATATTGATAATTATTCTGATACGCTATATTATTTTTCTCCTCCATGTTTTTCAATTTCCCTTCATTTCTTTCTCACATTCTTCTTCCTATTCCCACTATGCGTCGTTAGAAAAAGACAGAATGGTGATCCAAAGCATATTATCTCTTTCTATTCTGTGACGCGTTCAGCTACAGGAAACATGCAGTCTATACAGGGTGTTCAAAAAGTCCCGGACCGGTGAAATATCTCGAAAACTAAGCATTTTAGAAAAAAATGTTTCAGATAAAAGTTGTGGCGTTTAAAAAGATGTATTTACTGATCACATCAGTTTGACCTT